AGAGAGGAGGGAGGGGAGAGTGTGCGAGAGAGGGAGAGAGTGTGCGAGAGAGGGAGAAAATATCCTGCATAGTTTCCACCAGCTTCCTAATGTCGTTGGCTTTCATAGCATGCAGGCTATAAAAATCGATGATAAAAAATTACTATTATTTTCATTAAGCCTATCTGTATATATATTAAAAACACGGATGTCAATGTTACTAACAACAATTTGTATTCCTCAAGGGAGTAAGGCAAACGACAAGCGACACCGGAACATATCTAGCCCAGTTGAACAACCCACTCGGTATGTTAGACAGCAACAACATTTTCCGGAAAATACAGAACTTGGCTCAACAGGTTCGGACATATCTTTAATTTATATACTAAGTGATTTGATTCTTGACATGCTGTTCTTACCTAAGATTACTAAATGTTAACCTTTCAGAATGACAAATCACAAGGATGTCCTATTGATTATGCAAAATAAGGTCATCATTTTCATATTAGTTAATACACGTGTATTCTCTACCGTAGTTGTTTAATGCTTGAAAGTCTAATATTAACAACAGAGATTGAATAGATTAGTAATGAATATTTTTATGGAAGTTTATCTGTGTTGGTAGTAATCATAGTAAATTGCTGAACTTTATTCCAACGCAAGGATCAATTTTTTTATCGAGCACTGTCGCCTTCATCTGGATGTCTTCATCAAATGATCTACTACTTCTGTGTTAAAAACCCGAAAGAGTTACGGGCAATCCAGCCATTACTTCACAGAGACGGTGGACGATATAAACTACCTGGCACGTTTGACAAATTGCAGACGTATTCGTAAAGTCTCGTGTGACTAAAGTCACGTATCCGTAACTCTCGCGGGTTTACGTTTGGAAAAGGTTGGTCATTTCTTATGCTGCTGAAGACGACAGTGGTGGTTGAAAATTTGATACATGTACTTGTGTACCCTTGTACCAAGGAGCTTCAAATCTATCACCACATGTACGCTTTGTAACGAAGTTCAGCATTGTACTATAACAATGAATCTTAAACAATACAAGGTCCCCCTTGCTGCTCCATGGAATGCACCAAGAGCTAAGGAGTGGGACATTATGACAGTTCAGGAGTTCATCAACAAGGAGTGCTGGACAAGGTAGGCAACTATGGCGCCGTTAAAAGTCAGTTCTTATATACACCACGATATCTCTATATAATCAAGCCTATTTCTCCTTATATCAATCAAGGTAACTTGTAACTGGAAAGGTAACATTTGAAACGCAAATATTGTTTACCTTCACATGGTCAGCCCAACAAACTACTGCACTGTTCATTCTTACTCTCAAAGTCCAAAAATCTAAAATTGTGTTGCTGTTTCTTCTGACTACAATAAATGGAAGTATGGTGAGCAAGCCCTCAAACTCTATTCTGCTACATAATGTACCCTAACACCACAGGGTGTTGCTACAGCAAGAGTTACCATGGTAACACACGTCTGGTCCAGGTCATTGACTTTGTTTGGGATGGAAAAAGAGGAAAAAAATGAGCAAAACCATGTTCTCCTTCTGCGAATGTGAACATAAAAATCACTTAAAGGGTGATGATTTCAGCTCCCTTACATGTAATTCTGATTTTGTTTTTAATCTACTTTTTTATGATCTTTCAACTACAGGATGGCCAGGAGTGATATACAAGGTGTGGTGCAGTCCACATTCTGCTGCGAAGCCCACGAGATCTCCTTACTGTATTACCTGTTTTACATGGCTTCTGGGCAGGGACAAAGACGGGTTATTTCCGCCACCAATGGAGCGCAGGTACAATGAATGGATGAATGAACGAGTGAGTGAGTGAGTGAGTGAGTGAGTGAGTGACTGAGTGAATGAATGAATGACTGAAGGAAAGACGATACTTTTCAAAACAGCCGCCATTTGGGCCGCTCGACTCTCCGTGGTCAAGTTGCTTTTGCTGCTAACATACAAATGGAAAAGAGCCGCAATTTCACCTTGAGCTCGCCGGGTTGTCGTCAGATGAAATAAAAGCAGTGTTTGGGCAATCGCAGAGATGGATTTGAACAATAGCGTCGAGAAACAGTTAGAGGAAATTCAGCGGTAAAATAATGTAGCGGTAAATTCAGTTTGTACCTGTAACTTTTAGCTTTAAATAATTGGCTTGTTGTGGTGAGGATTGACTTCAATGCAAGATTAAAAGATTTACATCTTGCACAGGAGTTGTTTCCCTTGAGTGTTGGTTTGATATACATGCATATACGATAATGTATATGTGATAATAACTTTAATGACCCACTTTCCTTCTGTGTATGCAGTGTCATAATTCATGGTCATTTTTTCGCAGACTCGGTTGTTTATTCGTGGTTATAGGAACCGACCATGAATTATGACACCGTGTACACCTCAGCGCGGGTCATTAACCCTATATTATCATATAGCCAGGTGACGTTGACCAATCAGAAGGCTCCATTCCACATTCCTTATGACGCCGTAATGTCACAAATAGAGTCAAAATCGGGTATTTATTCATCCCAATCCATACATTAAACAACCCAAATAATCACCCGCAGAACAGGGCTCTAGTTCTAAAAAATCCAAAAATAACTTAAGTTGTGTTCCAATGACCTCGGCTGACTCCCATAAGAACACCTGTTCACTGCCTGTGACCCAGATAGAAGACATAGAACGTGAACTCTACCCAGTGACCTCAGGTGACTCCAGAGGGAACTATGTTCTATGTTCTATTCAGCATGTGCATTGTATCACTTACTGCATCAGTTTGGATAGACTATCGTGTAAGCTATATGATAATAGTGTTAATGTCCCGCCCTTTCTCGGTGAATACGGTGTGATAAAGCCTTGTCAGTTGCTATAACCACCTCATAAAGCCACCTCGTTCTCTGCGCTCACTTGGTGGCTTTATTCTGTGGTTATAGTAACTGACAAGGCTTTATCACACCATATTCACCTCGGGGCGGGACATTAACCCTTAATTTATACAGGAGAGGAAAATTGTGGGCGGTGCCATGCAAGTGAGTGAGAAGATTGCGGCGTTGCTAGGCGACAGAGTCGTTCTGTCTAGTCCTGTTTTGAGGATAGACCAGGAGGATACAGTTGCCATAGTAACCACCCACAGCGGGCAACGGTACAGGGTAGGTCATTTTGTGTCACATATCTTAGTACAATACAAATACTTGTTTCTTTTTGGCGACGTCTCAGGGGCGGGGGCACTATTACAGTGTTTTACAATTTCAAAATAAACGTATCTGATCTATTATTAATAACTGTCCGCCTATGCGTGGTCTTTAGTTGGAGTAGAAAAAGCCGTTTTTGTTATGTGTATGATGACAAATCTTGGTTAAGTTTCTGAAAAATGTAACAAAATCATGTAATATTGTTTAAGCAACATTTGTTTAATGACTGACATTCAGGTAGCGGATATCCCTTTAATGTATAAAAGTATGTAACGATTTCCTGAATGATCAGAGCGGTTTGGCTAACATAGCTTTACCTCTTTAACGTTTTTCAGGCCAAATATGTCATCAGTTCTGTGCCACTGCCCGTTCTGCACAGAATTCTATTTGAGCCTCCTCTTCCAGCTATGAAATTACAGGTGATTTGTTTATCTTCTTTGTTTATTCATGTATTTTATTTAGATGATCCTAATTCTCTTTTTTATGTAAACCACGATGATCTTCTCTTGCTGTAGTTTATTATGATATTATAATCTATTGTTCAAAAATCATAGGAAAATGTTTCTAAAACGTTGCATCCTGGTGAGCTAAATAAAAAAAAACACCAAAATGTTGAAAACATGTTGTTTTTGTTCCGATGTAGTTGGTGCAGAGGATGACGATGGGATCTATCATCAAAACCAACACATACTACCGGACGGCATTTTGGAAGGAGAAAGGTCAGCATGACATTCCCCAAAACTCTTTTTGTATATCTTAAACCCTGTCACAAACTCGGGACATTTCTCCTACTACCAACTAACCAAGGATGGAGCAGTCTGACATCATTTCTAACCTTATCCTTACACGTGCTGTAGTGGAAACGTAGGTCAAGTTCAAAATGGTTTACCTGGCTTTTTTTCAACAGTACTGCAGCGTGATTTTCATGCATTTTTGATTGTATGTTATAGTATTATCTCTAAAATTTGTGTCACATTTAACCCGCAAACATTGTTGTCCTACGTCCAAACAATAGCCGACCACTAGGCAAACATGGCCGAACCTCCTGTCCACGACCGTATGTTTTAAACATATTGAAACTGTCGACTGTGACTCAGCCGAACAGTAGCCGACCTCACCGAACACCAGCCGACCACATTCGACCTTGTGTCGGGCCTACCCTTTAATAATTGAATTGCCTTTGTGCATCACAGGCTTTTCCGGAGAAGCACAATCTGACATAGGACCGGTCATGTACTGTGTAGATGACACCAAACCAGACGGCAGCCATCCTGCAATCACGGGGTTCATCCTAGCCGGACATGCCAGAGATGTATGTGAGATGTCCCCCGAAGAAAGGTACTTGTTTAGTTACTTAATATGTTTACCTTCGTAGAAGGAAAATATATTGTCTTTGCTCAAGTCAATGACCTGAACCAGAGAAGCTGCTTATCATACGTATGAATGTATTTGGGTTTGAGTAAGAATAAACAATGCTGTAGTTTCTTGGGGCTATAGCTAGACCATGTGAAGGTAAACATTGTGCATTTGCTTTGCAAATGTTACCTTTCTAGTTCAAATTGCAACTACTAGTAAATTGAAACATTGAATACTTGAATGGTGCGGCTATACATATAACGCCAGTATTGTTTGTTTTGTTGTATTTTGCGTTTAAAAAATGTGTAACTGGAGTTAAACGCTATAATGTCATTGGTCTTTGTCTTTTGTTGATGAAAAATACAGTGTGAAGAACAAGACAGCTAATAGTAAAGGCACTAACAGAAGCGATGGAGCACTGTACTTTAACATGCAGTGTACTACTTCCCTTATCGTTAGGGCCATGAGTTTTAATGTATTTTGTAGTTGACGAACAAAAAAAAAATAAACATGTCGAAGAATATACATTTCAGAATCAACCCATCATTATCAATACCATTTTGATACGTGGATTCAGAAGTATATATACTTCTGAAATAGAAATATATGTACACTGTAAATACAATGGGATATACGTACCTCATAATATATGTAAAAAGAGCTTTTGCATTTATAGGAAGCAAGCAGTTTGTGAATACTATGCTGAAGTCTTCCAGTGTCCAGAGTTTCTTCATGTGAGTTGCAGTTATATTAATATATGAATCTCTAAAATTGTAGTTAGTTGTCACGTTCTAATATCGCTTCTGCTTTGTCGCCATTTCAAAGTTAAAACTTTTGTTTCAACACAAGGGATTGAGCTAGAGTCTTTCCACCAGTTATGAATATATTGATCAAGAACAGAATAGCCAAATTTTACAAAAACACTGGTGCGCTATACCCTCTGTTGAGAGATCGTAATATCCCAACAGACGTGAGAGTCCACATTTACACCAGCATACTAAAGCCAATTTTGACATACAGCTGTGAAACATGGACGCTCACTGAAAGACGTAAAAGCATTCTCCAGGCAGCGGAGATTAGGGTATTACGGCTGATATATGGAGTCACAAAAAGAGAATACATAAGAAACACCATCATCAGAGCTTCCCTAAAAGTTGAGCCAATCATCAACTATGTGGAAAAAAGCCAATTAAGGTGGTTTGGTCATGTGAAAAGAATGGCTGCCACAAGGGGCGTGAAACGTATTCTGGAGTGGAAACCTCCTGGAAAAAGACCCCTTGGCCGACCCAGGATTAGATGGACTGATGGTCTGAAGAAAATCCTGGCCAAAAGAACAAACATTTCCTTTGAAGAAGCTAGAGAAGACTGATTGGGACTCTCAACTGACAGACCAGTATGGTCTACATAGCCTCTACCAGGCTTGAGGGCACGGCTGGAATTATAGTAGAAATCGGCCCGAAATAGAGAGATAACACGCCGAGGGAGTTTAGCCATCCAGTTTACAGTNGGTTCAAAAGGGTTTACCTGGCTTTTTTCTAACAGTACTGCAGCGTGATTTTCTATGCATTTTTGTATTGTATGTTTTAGTTATTATCTCTAAAATTTAGTGTCACATTTAACCCGTCAAACATTGTTGTCCTACGTCCAACAATAGCGACCACCGGGCAAACATGGCTAAACCTCCTGTCCACGACCGTATGTTTTAAACATATTGAAACTGTCGACTGTGACTCAGCCGAACAGTAGCCGACCTCACCGAACACCAGCCGACACATTCGACCTTGGTCGGGCCTACCTTTGATAATTGAATTGCCTTTGTGCATCACAGGCTTTTCCGGAGAAGCACAATCTGACATAGACCGGTCAGTTACTGTGTAGACGACACCAAACCAGAACGGCAGCCATCCTGCAATCACGGGGTTCATCCTAGCCGGACATGCCAGAGATGTATGTGAGATGTCCCCCGAAGAAAGGTACTTGTTTAGTTACTTAATATGTTTACCTTCGTAGAAGGAAATATATTGTCTTGTCTCAAGTCAATGACCTGAACCAGAGAAGCTGCTTATCATACGTATGAATGTATTTGGGTTTGAGTAAGAATAAACAATGCTGTAGTTTCTTGGGGCTATAGCTAGACCATGTGAAGGTAAACATTGTGCATTTGCTTTGCAAATGTTACCTTTCTAGTTCAAATTGCAACTACTAGTAAATTGAAACATTGAATACTTGAATGGTGCGGCTATACATATAACGCCAGTATTGTTTGTTTTGTTGTATTTTGCGTTTAAAAAATGTGTAACTGGAGTTAAACGCTATAATGTCATTGGTCTTTGTCTTTTGTTGATGAAAAATACAGTGTGAAGAACAAGACAGCTAATAGTAAAGGCACTAACAGAAGCGATGGAGCACTGTACTTTAACATGCAGTGTACTACTTCCCTTATCGTTAGGGCCATGAGTTTTAATGTATTTTGTAGTTGCGACAAAAAAAAGAAACATGTCGAAGAATATACATTTCAGAATCAACCCATCATTATCAATACCTATTTTGATACGTGGATTCAGAAGTATATATACTTCTGAAATAGAAATATATGTACACTGTAAATACAATGGGATATACGTGCCTCATAATATATGTAAAAAGAGCTTTTGCATTTATAGGAAGCAAGCAGTTTGTGAATACTATGCTGAAGTCTTCCAGTGTCCAGAGTTTCTTCATGTGAGTTGCAGTTATATTAATATATGAATCTCTAAAATTGTAGTTAGTTGTCACGTTCTAATATCGCTTCTGCTTTGTCGCCATTTCAAAGTTAAAACTTTTGTTTCAACACAAGGGATTGAGCTAGAGCTTTCCACCAGTTATGAATATATTGATCAAGAACAGAATAGCCAAATTTTACAAAAACACTAGTGCGCTATACCCTCTGTTGAGAGATCGTAATATCCCAACAGACGTGAGAGTCCACATTTACACCAGCATACTAAAGCCAATTTTGACATACGGCTGTGAAACATGGACGCTCACTGAAAGACGTAAAAGCATTCTCCAGGCAGCGGAGATGAGGGTATTACGGCTGATATATGGAGTCACAAAAAGAGAATACATAAGAAACACCATCATCAGAGCTTCCCTAAAAGTTGAGCCAATCATCAACTATGTGGAAAAAAGCCAATTAAGGTGGTTTGGTCATGTGAAAAGAATGGCTGCCACGAGGGGCGTGAAACGTATTCTGGAGTGGAAACCTCCTGGAAAAAGACCCCTTGGTAGACCCAGGATGAGATGGACTGATGGTCTGAAGAAAATCCTGGCCAAAAGAACAAACATTTCCTTTGAAGAAGCTGGAGAAGTCTGATTGGGACTCTCAACTGACAGACCAGTATGGTCTACAGGCAATCGGGTGAGAAGAGAATGAATATATTGATAACTTCTTTAACCCCTCTCAAGAGGTAGTATTTGAAAACGTCCAGTATTTTTTTGAAATTGTTCGGTATCGTTTACCAGATACCTTTTACTCAGATGTTGGTGACAAGCATGACTGGGTCAATCCATTGAAGAAGACCATAGCGACTGGTCGAAAACTTTAGCGGAGAACAATCGGATTCTTTGTGTTGGACGTTTTAACGTAAAACACATGGAACTGTTCTTAGCTAGAGGTACACAGAACGTTTCTGATACCATTACCTGGATGTACTGTAGCCTGTGAGAGCATAAACGTATAATGTAGGTTTTCAGTTCATTTTGTATTAGGTTAGAAGTTGTATCTAATAACGTTGCATGATGTACTTCAGCCTGTGAACTATGTGGAACAGAACTGGATGGCGGATCCTTTTTCTGGGGGCTGCTTTGTGGCCACCTTAGGACCTGGTGTGCTGACAAGCTTTGGCAGGTGAAGTCATGTACCCTTATCCTTACATGTACATGTGCTGTTGTGGAATGTAGGCCAAGTTCAAAATGGTTTACCTGGCTTTTTTCAAAGGTACTTCAGGGGGATTTTTTATGCGTTGATTGATTATATAACCTTAGCATTATCTCTGAAAGTATGACCATATTATTTCGATTTTATTTGGCTTGGCCGTTTTGATGATACAGATACATTCCTTTGGAAAATGTGCTAATTAGCTCTATCAGGTGGATAAATAGTACAATGAAACATGGTGATACAATTAAATGTAAAGACACCCAAGGCGATTTCAAAGCAATAAAACAAGATATTTAAAGTCAATTATCACTTTTAAAATGCTTTAGGTTGAATCTACCTATGTCATGACTCAAAGAACGTATGGCAAAAATGCGATGTCGCATGACAGAAAACGGTTGCTTGTTTCGTTTTGTATCGTATTTTATTTATTTGTATTAACTAAAGAGAACTACTTACTCAACTTTTTGTCTGGACTATTTCAAGCGCGTAACAATGACAAAATAAGAATGGCAGTACTAATTTTAGGCAGATTTCCTTACTTTTGTTTTGCCGCTCTGAAACAGCATTTAGGAACTAGCGTTATCCTAGTATAGATTGCTCATAACTTCGATGTTAAAAGCACAAATGTATGAATTGGTGTGGCCTAACCAACCTTGCTCCCGACCTACTACTAACCATAGCTGTGGGGAGTTCGGCTAGTGTTCGGGTGTATGTATTCGGTTATACGTGACAGGGGCTTTACTCACTCGCACAATCACTCCCTACAGAGCGATACGCAAGCCGTTTGGTAAGGTGTACTTTGCCGGTACGGAGACAGCAGTAAAGTGGAATGGCTACATGGACGGGGCTGTGGAATCTGGCGAGAGAGCTGCAAGAGAAGTAAAAACATATAACATTATTATAAAAGCAATATATTATTACAGTAGTTTAGTAGCGATGTAATCATTCTTGTATGAAAATAAAATATTCAAGGCAGATTAATTCAGGGGACCCTGACGTACTGTAGTGTACACAAAAAGACACATATTTATTTTGTAATGATGTTTCATTGATATTTCCTTGATCATTTTGTAAATAAATGTACATGTACGGTTGTTGGTATGAAGCAAAACTTTAAGATAATCCTGTATCTTAAACTTGCAGGTTTTGCATGCCATAGGGAAGATATCAGAAGACCAGATCTGGCAGGAGGAGCCCCCGAGTCCTGATGTTCCCCACACACCTTTTGAAGATAACCCATTGGAGAAAATCCTCCCGTCCGTTCCACAGTTCCTGTATATTCTGCTAGCACTCGTTGTGCTGCTGCTTTCTGTGCTATGGGTTTATCTGTTCTAAAAAGCTACATCTTATTAAAGTTAAATATGACGATTTTGACGTAATGTAGTAATCCAAAGGCATAGTGAAATGGGCTCCTTTTTTGTTGGGAAAATATCTAGACTGCGCAATGGTTGGTGAGTGGAGTAGGATGAGAAGGCGTCGCACATGATATTAAAATAGGAAAGTCTGTAGCGCTTTGTTGTTATCTTGACAAGAAGTTCCGCAGAGATAGAGGGGTAGTTTGTTGTATGATTAGGTGTTTTTGGAAATACACTTTTAAAAATACACTTTTAAAAATATTTTAATGTGATTTTTGTTTTAGGGAATTAATTCTGTCACTGTTCCACGTGAATTCCACGACAACTATTTTTTAAATACAGCACAATTAAATGAAATAAATGAAATTTCAACAGGAAAATACAAAACATAATTTTTGACACCCCCACTAAAAGTGGTACTGTTCCAATGTTACGTGGTCACCGCAGATGATCACCTAGTAGATAATCTGTTTTTATGTCCACACAATCTTGTTTCACGTGTCATAATAACAATTTCTAACGATTTTTTCGGCAACGGGGGAATTTTATAAAGAAATTCGGGTCAAATAACTTAGTACGATAGACTATATGATAATAACGTTAATGTCCCGCCTTATCCTCGGTGTATATTGTGAGATAATCCCTGGTCGGGTGGGATAACCACCTCATAAACCCCCTGTTCACTCGGTGGTTTATTCGGTGTTTATAGCACCCGACCAGGGATTATCTCACCATATACACCTCGGGTCGGGACATTAACCCTTTATTATTTTATACATATTCAGTTATATTTCATTTTATATTTTAAAATATGTTGTGTCAGCACTGTGCAAACAACCAAGGCCTGTACTAATTTTTTTACATAGGACAATAAACATAACAATAAAGAAGGTTATGCCAAACAAAAGCCCTGTTGTCACCAAGTCTTTACAATGAGAGGGGCAGTTTTATAATGATCATCCTCTTAGTATAGTCACATGTTCCAACAATTTCTTCGTTTCCATTGGAACCAAGTTATCTGAGAAGTTCAAGAAACAGGCAAGTAGCTTACTTTGCCCAGAAAAGTACAAGAAGTTGGGGTCAACTTTCCTCTTAAAAGAGGTAAGTGAAGCTACAGTGTATGGAATGATCAGAGCCTTAGGAACCAATAAGGGTACAGGGTTAGATNTAACTTAGTACGATAGACTATATGATAATAACGTTAATGTCCCGCCTTATCCTCGGTGTATATTGTGAGATAATCCCTGGTCGGGTGGGATAACCACCTCATAAACCCCCTGTTCACTCGGTGGTTTATTCGGTGTTTATAGCACCCGACCAGGGATTATCTCACCATATACACCTCGGGTCGGGACACTAACCCTTTATTATTTTATACATATTCAGTTATATTTCATTACACATATTTTTAAATATGTTGTGTCAGCACTGTGCAAACAACCAAGGCCTGTACTAATTTTTTACATAGGACAATAAACATAACAATAAAGAAGGTTATGCCAAACAAAAGCCCTGTTGTCACTAAGTCTTTACAATGACAGGGGCAGTTTTATAATGATCATCCTCTTAGTATAGTCACATGTTCCAACAATTTCTTCGTTTCCATTGGAACCAAGTTATCTGAGAAGTTCAAGAAACAGGCAAGTAGCTTACTTTGCCCAGAAAAGTACAAGAAGTCGGGGTCCACTTTCCTCTTAAAAGAGGTAAGTGAAGCTACAGTGTATGGAATGATCAGAGCCTTAGGAACCAATAAGGGTACAGGGTTAGATAAAATTCACTCAAGATTCCTAAAAGCAGCTGCACCATCATTATGTATTTCCAAACCCCATACCCATATATTCAACCTGTCTCTTGCAACTGGTATCATTCCTAAGGAATGGAAAGCGGCCAAGGTAACCCCTATACATAAAGGCGGAGACAAAGAAGACCTGAATAACTACAGGCCTATATCTGTGCTTCCAGTTATCATGAAGGCATTTGAGAAAGAAGTTCACAGTCAGTGACTGGACTATCTTCACAAACACAACATCCTAGCTGAACAACAGTCTGGTTGTAGACCAGGACATTCAACGGCTACTACACTGCTAGATGTCACTGATTATGTGTATCGAAACATTGATAGGGGAAACCTTGTGGGGGCTGTGTTTTTAGATCTAAACAAAGCCTTCGACACGGTTGATCACTACCTGTTATTAAAGAAACTGTCCCGTTTAAGTAGCCTCCGGGCACGACACTTTTCCTTCAATAATGCGGAGAAGGCAGCGGCGGACATGTGCCCGGGCCATGATGTCAACAGGGTTTGAGGTTTTTGGCAGGAGGTACGAACAGACGCCGAAGGGTTTTAGGTACAAACAGTAGCAATGTAAGTTTAACATCGCATTCATCCCATCCCTGCAAACACCAAGAAGAAGTACATCTTTCCACATGGACTGTCACAATCCACCATAGATGGAAGAGATGAAAGTAATTTCGTGACACCCTACCAACGCACCAAGTATGACACCAATCCTTGCAGCCGTTCTTGAGTTATCTTGTTGACGAACGGACAGACGGACAAACGCAACTGAAAATATAAGCTCCATGACATATGGAGCTAGGTAACGAGTTAAATTAGCCCGACGCTCCAACCTAATTACACTGAAACCTTGCCGAACCGGTTTCAGTTGGACCTCGTGACATATTTACATACGAAATCCTGATCCAAAACTCTCGGTTAAAACTGTGTAAACTGTACGAGTTCAATAGAATTGTATTGACAATGTAAATATAGTGAACAATGTAATTATAGTAAATGCATGACGTCTAGGCCAGATCTCATATCTTGTTAACGGTAGACTGTAACATCTGTTATGTAATATTATGTTTATCTGAAGTGTAACCGACACTGTTAACTGTTGCCTGTTCCGAATTGTTTATATTCTTGTTGTTCCGAATTGTTTATATTCTTGTTTGTATTGCATGGAACAACCTAAAGGACTACATGTGCCTATATAGCTATTTTAAACAGTCTACTCAAGACCTTACATAATGATTATTAACTATCGATATTATCATTTCAAACAACCTAGAGGACTACAAATATTTACGTTAAACCTTTATAAGACTCTCAAAATTCGTATTGAAACAACATAGATGACTACAAATATTAATACTTACGATCAAACTTAGTAGAAGGTGACTAACCCTATTAACATCTATAAACCAAGGATGATAATACAATAATTAGCTGCCTCAGCAGACTCAATGCCTGGGTTTTGGTGAACCTTTATGATGCGCCTTTTTTTCTGACACACTACTTCTATTTTTTATTCCAACATATAAACGACGATGCTCCACAAAAGTCCTGTGTGTTGACCTGTTCACTACAATCTAGAAGAAGAACTTGCAACAAACATGCAGTAGCCATGTGGACTGCAGTAAACGTCTATAGATTGTGTGGTCGGTGGTTTGTGTGTGTGAATGACGATAAAATCGTCGTCTCCTTCTTCTCGTGATGTCCAACTGACGACTCTTCGACAAGAACATGTATCGGGTCAAATGTCATTCACCGTTGTATTTCTTTTATTCCAAGGAAGGAACATACCAGCACCTGGCGCTGCCGCTTCCTTACTATCCCGCAGCTCTCCCACACTGTGTCGCAGTAGTCCATGAGGGGGAGTACCATTGAATTATACAACATATCAGTTACGTTAACTGTGAGACAGGGTCTAAGACGCCTGAGTAAGGCTAGACGCTGAGTTACCCTAATACAAAGTTTGTCCTAGGTATTTGAACGAATTCACTCTATGGTTTCATTTCCAATATTGATTGTACATGGTTTTACAGATTTTAGTTTTCCACTACTGCAAAAAAGCATCCACTGTGTCACAGAAGTATTTAAAGTGATTCATCTGAAACCTTGCAGATAAAAGAGTGAGTTTATTGTTCAGTGTGGTTTCAATGTACCTTAAGTCATCACTGGAGCAAAAATAATGGCAGTATCATCTGCATAGAGACATACTTTGCTGGATACAAATTCTGGAAGGTCATTTATAAACAAGATGAACAACAACGGTCCCAGTATGGAACCTTGGGGCACTCCGACTGTAGCTGGGAGATGATCTGAGGAACAACCATTTAGAGACACTGCCTGCTGCCTGTCAGATAAGTAGTTGGTAAACCACCTGAGTTCTACATCTGTGCCTCCAATCCAGGACAGTTTCTTTAATAACAGGCAGTGATCAACCGTGTCGAAGGCTTTTTTTAGATCTAAAAACACAGCTCCCACAAGGTTTCCCCTATCAATGTTTTGATACATATAGTCAGTAACATCTAGCAGTGTAGTGGCCGCTGAATGTCCTGGTCTACAACCAGACTGGATGTTCAGCAAGGATGTTGTGTTTGTGAAGATAGTCCAGTAACTGACCGTGAACTTCTTTCTCAAATGCCTTCATGATAACTGGAAGCACAGATATAGGCCTGTAGTTATTCAGGTCTTCTTTGTCTCCGTCTTTATGTATAGGGGTTACCTTGGCCGCTTTCCATTCCTTAGGAATGATACCAGTTGCAAGAGACAGGTTAAAGTGTTTAACCCTAAACAGTACACCTGGGGTCCGCGCGGACCCCAGCACTATGTATTCTGTAGATTTTTTTCTGAAATTTTAGGTAATTGGCACCCACAAAGTTGTCTCTCAATACAGTGCAGAAAACTCCTATTCTACCATTTATAAAAAAAATTATATCTGATTTTCTTTTGGGGTCCGCGCGGACCCCAGCCGGCTTTCGATCATAATGGATACACTGGCGTTCTTATACATTACCTTATTTCCGTTTTTATATGTTTTTATGCACTCATCGTATATCTACCAAGTTTTCAAAGAATGGTGTAGTAATAGAATTAAATTTTAATAACTTTGGTGTAATTATGACGTCATATAACGTCAGAGCTAATAATATAGTCCGCCATATTGGATTTTGACCAATGACGTCATCAAATTAGCATATTCTATGCATA